GGTTTCTATGACTAATAAATCACTTAAAGCCTGGCAGCTGCTTCACTCTCAGAGGATCTTATAAAATAATGGGACATGTATACAATAGAGTGGCGAAGTCACGCCCATCTACTTCCGCCCCATGGGACCTTATTTCGGAAAAATAATGTATTGAAGTCAATGGAGAGAGAAAACTTATCTTTCGATCCCGTTTGAATTGTGCCATGAATTACACATATGATGTTTGTCAATCTTAAAAAATCATTTCCATGTCAAAAAAGTCACAGTTTGTCGTAAAACTGTTGAAATATAAGACTATGAAAAATACGCAACTAGAAAGACTACAAATCCCAGAGTCGCGTAAGTGATGTCACAATTGAGACACTAAGATCAGCACAATTGAGATAGCTAAGATCAGCGCCATATAGATATAATCTATCTATATGGCGCTGGCTAAGATAAGATAACTTTAACAAGATGCCTGTGTGCTTAGTACCAGGTTGTTCATACCAGCAATGGGTCTTGCTCGTTCTTTCGCTTCCCGTCTGATGAAAGAGGAGTATCTGGATCAAGCTAGCTAGTAGCTAGCACATTAGTTAGCATTACAGTTTTGTCATTTGTATTAGCCTTAACATGAAGTAACATTAAGTAACCCAAAATGTTAAACAGTAAGAGTAGTAGTCATATTTCGTGAACCCTTTGAAGAGTACTGTCACACCGGTGTGATCATTCTATAATACACAATGTAAGCCCGGGGGAGAAATGCTAACGCTAACGCTGGCGATCTTCTCTACTTCATGCTATCTGCACAAATTATTAACCGAGTCATTTTCAAGATTGAGTTACAATGATCAATTGGAGTGGCAAAGGATCAGCTGCATGACCCGCCATCAAGTGCTTCATCCAAAAGGACAGGAGGATGGACTTTGTGTTTAAGTGATTTGATCATCAAAGGTAGGCCTAAGTCATTTTCAATGTGGGCCGCCGTTCCAACTTAATTCAATTTTAATTGTTACTTGGCTGTGGGTGCCCTGTCATGATAGGTGTTTATATAAATGGTGTTGTTTTATGTGGTAGAGGGTCGCTGTCATTGATGCATTTTGCACCCCGGGCCGCTGTTTTGATATTCCGCTGAAGTATACGCTGTGACGTTGTGATGCCCCTGTGGGTCCATCATTAGAGAGGGTGTGGCTGTCCTGTCTGGGCTGTGTTGATTGCAGTAACTCAGGGCACCTGGGTCTGGTGTCCTGCAGCTATTTAAAGCCTCTCTGCTCCTCTCTGTGGTCTCTCTGCTTTTCCCTACAGGCCTCCGGTTTTGTTGAGTATATGCTGTTGTTACTTTAGTTGCTTTACTTTGTGCACCTCAACACCCTCACACATACACGTCCATGCAACCCTCACCCTGCATTTACACTACTGATACCACTGACGTCCACACCTCATGCTTTACTTATTGTTGCACTTCATTTGATTTGGCTAATTTGAATTGTTTGGTTAAATAAACATATTTTAGTAACCGTGAACATGTTGTGTCTCCTCTTTGTTGTGGCCTTTTGAGCCGGGTCGTAACAAATGGGGGCTCGTGCTACGGGTTATTTGGTTAAAAGTTTGTGTAGTTGTTATAGCAGAATGTTTAATACAGCGTATTTCTGGTATATTCATTTAATGTCACATGTTAAGCCATATGATGTGTGTTACGGAGTTGGGTCACACAGAGTTAGAGAGACAATGGTCATTCTGAATTATCAATAGATGTATTCATTTTAAGTGAGCTGACATTGAGGTTGGAGGAAGTTCAGAGAAGGCCTTAGGTTATAAAAACAGTTCACCTTTGTTAGTTGACTACTCCTAAAGGATGTCATGAGATAAGTAAACTTTCAACATCTGGAACATACAAGTATAGCATTCAGAGGCAGAACATGTGATATCGTGTGTTAGCTAATGTAAGGAAATGTGTGTGCGTCATGTCAGGAGTCCTATATATGTTTCTGTAAAGTTCTACTGTTTGAGAGCATTGCTGTAGGACTGCTTGAGAGCAGAGGTAATGTTTTCCTCGTTATTATTGATTGTTGTACAACGAAATAATAATTGATCAACTATATTTGTGTTTGTGTTTTATTGATTCCTCTCTGTTTCATTCTTTCCTGTTGTGAGTGCTAAATTGCCACAACATAGTGCTCAGAGCACATGGTGTCATTGAGCAGCTAATTAGTTGATGTGGTCCAGCTGTGTGCTGGCTTGGCGCTGCTATTTGGGGGGGGGACATCATGTTTTTTGTGTTTCAGGAAGCTTTAGTGTCTGACATGGCGTCAGGTTTTGTGTGCCAATCAGAAGGTAAGATGTTGCTGTTTGTTACGCTTTTGTAAAGAGTTTTCCCCGCTAGGCTTAAGTGACGTTTCCCCTTGGGTTGCGTCTGTTTGTTTTTTTCACGGCATACAATAGTGCTGGATTGTGAGTTGGTGCGGGAGGTTGTGTCTATCGGCGTGCGTCCCTCGTTGCCAATTGATGGGGTACAGATGATTTTGGGCAACGATCTTGCTGGTAGTGCTGTGTGGGCTGGTGTGCCACCGTCTGTGGTGGTTTCCAGACCGTTGGCATCTGTGGAGCCAGATGAGAGCGGTTTGCAATTTCCAAGGGTGTTTCCAGTTTGTACTGTTACGCGTGCGCAGAGCCGTAGGATGTCTACTGACCTGCCTGTTTCGGAGGGTAGGAAAAGTGTTGTTGAACAGGTGGTCTCACTGCCTGATCTCCCTTCGTCTGTGTCAAAGGAGGAGGAAGACGAGGAGACTCTTCCTCACTCAGAAATCCAGCAGGGAAATCAGTTCACCTTCGGCAGCATTGAGAGAGAAGAATACGATAAACTGTTTGACTTTGTAAATGCCAAGAAGTTCAACGTCAAGAACAGAGGCTTGAAAGAGGGCATGAAGGGTAAGATCGACGAGTACAGCGACTCGGACGAAGACCAGCACGATGCCTACCTGGAGGAGAAGAAGGAGGAGAAGAAGAAGAAGAAGGAGGAGGAGGAGAAGGAGGAGAAGAAGAAGGAGAAGAAGAAGAAGATGATGATGATGATGATGATGCTGCTGCTCAACGTCAGCCGAGAGAGAATCAGGTCTGAGAACCCCGGCATCTCCAAGAAGGCCGGAGAGATGTGGAGGACGCTGAGCAAAGAGGACAAGGGGGAGTGGGACATAAAGGCAGTGGAGTTAAGAAGGAGGATGTTGGTTGGTCGTGGATCCCTAAGGGGGGGGCTGTGATGCCCCTGTGGGTCCATCAGTGGAGAGGGTGTGGCTGTGCTGCATTGATTGCACTGAGGCCTAGGCTCCACGGGGACGAAAACGGGTTGAATCCGCATATTTCTCTTGCGTATAGCCCTTTAAGCTCGACGACGCCGTAACGGAAACGTAGAAACAGACCCCGCAAACGGGTCCAAAGGTGGATAGATCTGGGAACGGAGCGCTCTGGGGGGTCCAACGGGGCCGTGGGGTCGCCTATACGGTCATCCGTTTCATAGCCCCGCCTCTCCCCGCCTCTCCCCACCTCTGCTGCTCACCCCCGCAAAAGTACACTGAATTCAGATTATTTATCTTTATCTCGATATGGACATAAACGCGAGTGAAGTCTAATCTGACAGGACGGAGACACGCAGCTCCTCCACACAAAACACACACTTCAAATCAGATCATCACCCTTAGCTATTTTAATTACCTCTCAAACTACCTAAACTAGTTATAAATATGTTTATTTTTACTGTCGAGTCATCATTACTGGATCAGCTGCTGCATGAGACAGACACTGACGCTGTGAGAAGAGAGGAAAAAGAGACAGGCTCTGTGTATTTTATTATCATATATCATTATATCGTCGTTATTCATTTGTTTTAAAGCTCAATAAATAACAAAGAAGACCTTTGACCGGCACTTTTATAATTTTTTTCGGAAGATTTAAACTTTAACACACGTTGACCGGCGAAAAACTCTGCCCGGATCCCTCTGCCCCCACCGCGGAGAATAAACAGAAGTGCAGCCATGACAACCATTCTTCTTCGCTGCTTTTGTGGAGGAAGTTGCTGCTTTTGTGGAGGAAGTTACAGCGCCACGTACAGGCTCGGCATATGTACTGCAGCTTTTCCAGCGGTTGGATGTAAACGGAGCCGTCTCGTGGAGCTTGACACAATCCGGTGTATATTGCGTGTGGGCGGAAGGTTTTTTGCGGTTGCGTTTGCGTTACTCCGATGCGTTTTGCCGTATGGGTTCCCGTGGAGCTGGGGCCTGATTGCAGTAACTCAGGGCACCTGGGTCTGGTGCCCTATTTAAAGCCTCTCTGCTCCTCTCTGTGGTCTCTCTGCTTTTCCCTACAGGCCTCCGGTTTTGTTGAGTATATGCTGTTGTTACTTTAGTTGCTTTACTTTGTGCACCTCAACACCCTCACACATACACGTCCATGCAACCCTCACCCTGCATTTACACTACTGATACCACTGACGTCCACACCTCATGCTTTACTTATTGTTGCACTTCATTTGATTTGGCTAATTTGAATTGTTTGGTTAAATAAACATATTTTAGTAACCGTGAACATGTTGTGTCTCCTCTTTGTTGTGGCCTTTTGAGCCGGGTCGTAACAGATGTAATAACTCTTCTTTTTTTTCGAGGGAAGGGGGGGGGTCAGAGGGCCTAGGTATAAAAGTCACGGCTCGCCACTGTTCTCTACTATATCATATTCATACATTTTTATGCATATTATAGTTCAATTACATGAACTCTGCTCTGCATTTTGATCCTTTTAAGTGCAATATTTTCAGTTAAGGCAATGTAATAAAAAATTGAATGCAGGATTTCCACTCAGAGCAAAAATAATTTACAGATGAAATCATCATAAAAAATACACACATTACGTTTTGACAGTAGTACTTTTCCCTCTATGGAGCAACAACTACTCCTACTCTTTTTAAGTAATTCCCCCTGTCCCTCAGACAGCAGTGAGGTACGTCAGTGTGTGGTGCAGCTGAGGACCCTTACCTTGAGTCAGGAGGGAGAGCAGAGCCGTGGCACAGATCAACCTGTAGAGAGCCATGACTGTGGGTCGATTCTGCAGGTCTGCTGCGGCATAAATAACTTCATCTGCCTCTCCACCTCCCTCATTCTCCTTCCTTCTCCCTCCCCCGTCTCGCTCTGCAACACAAACAGTGTCACCTGTTCAAAGACACGCCCAACACCTCAATCAACATTTCTCTGAGCTGCAGGGAGAGCATTTCCATTTATGCTGATATTACCTGCTTTATTCCACTTCACTGTTCTGCATCTCAAGGAAGGAATTCCACACCTCCACCTCTCTGATGTATTTTATACATAAATATGTGTCCCCGGTGTGTCAGGGAACTCACAAAGTGTCAGAAAACAAAACCCTCTCTCTTTTCCTCCGTACCCAAATCTCTAAAAACGGAGGTACAACGGAGCTGATCCAGATTTGCGTCCGATATGACGTAATATCGGAAATGTGGACCCACGGCCAGGGGCGGACTGGGACTAAAATTCAGCCCTGGAATCTGACCCAGCCCGGCCGCATCAGAAAAAATATATACAGTAGCCTACTATTAGTTATTAGAAATCAGCTGTTTATTAGGCTGCATTTATGCAGTTCAAGGGATAATTCTCACCTAAAGAGGGAGGACACTCCTCAGATGTCTTAAACACACGGGACATCGTAAAACAGTAAACACACAAACATACAGTACTATTTGTTATTAGATATTAAAATCAGCTGTTTATTCAACACACTCTCAGTCCCTAAGCGTCCAGGAGCGACGCTTGGTCAGGGTCCCGTGGCGTCCAGTTGTGACGCGCCAAGGCTCCTTCAGCTTCATAAACCGACGCAAAGTGCTTTCTGCAATGTATTCCCATCGGCGGCGGTATTTGACGCTTAGGGAAGCACGGCTTTCGTTTGTGTCGGAGGCTGTTAAAGGCAATGTGAGCGTCCATTCCCATTGGATAACGGAGAATTGTACACCCGGAAGTAAGTATTCCCCTTACTGTCGATTGATTTGACAGTGATATCTCCACTACTCATCAACTCAAAAACACCAGATTACTGTATCCTTGTTAATTAAACGACGGTTTTAGTGTGTGTACAATGCTTTTGTCACGTTTTCCCCTTCAATTCTGAGAAACAAGTCGTTTTCTATGAGTTTTGGATGGCCGAAGACATGACATTACCCACAATCCTCTGTAGCAACCATAGACTGTATAAAACAATAAAATAATACATTATTCCGAGTGTGCTTGCTTTTCTCTTTGAAAGTCATCACATAACGGCATTGTAATACACGTTTCGGCTGCATTAAATATGACATATCTGCCGTAGTTAACTCTAGAGCCCTGATGACAAGACTTCTAGACAAACAGGAACTGCCGCCAAAACTGAAAACTTGACGTGGATCTTAAATATATAAGCAATTAAACAACATCTTACATTTCTTTTCACACAATACATCTCCTTGCAGTATCAACACTAATTCGGCTGACTTTTATATTTGACACAATTGGTAGATAGGCTGTATTTACGCCATAACGGTGATAGAAAGGGACACCTACTGGTTAAAGCACGTTATTGCATTTTATAATTGTATTATTAGATATTAATAGGATCCCTATAAAGTATATTCTTTACTCGTCGTTATTCTCTACTAATAGTTAATTAAAGACTGTATATAATGACTATTTTGCACATCCCATTCAAGATTTCAAGATTTTCTAAGGTTTATTGACATTAAAGACTGTATATAATGACTATTTTGCACATCCCTTTCAAGATTTCAAGATTTTCTAAGGTTTATTGACATAATATTATACACAACTACGATGTAGTTATGCAATGAATGAAAAACTTGGGTTGCAGGTTCCTCAACAGTGCATTACAAGACATCTATCAATATGTGTGTACCTCCACCATTACATTGTCATATTCTGCACATTTCTTATACTATCTACATACATCTTATAAGAGTATAATACATATGTATAATATCAGTTCAAATAAGTGCTTAAACATAGTTAACATTGCAGGAAAGCAATATATTAGACGTTAAGTACTTTGTCAGGCTTAATATTTATCTGTAGATACAAATTTCACTGTGTGTGCTGTGTGCTCTGCATGTGTGACCATCAAAGAGGATTTCATCCCTTCATATTCATCTTCTATACCCCCAAAGCTTTTTTCTTATTCAAAAGAAGACCTTAACCTAAAGTATTCTTTAATGTTTAAATAAAGCCTTATTAGTTTGTCTGTTTTGCACATCCTCCTATTAATATCTAATAATACAATTATAAAATGCAATAACGTGCTTTAACCAGTAGGTGTCCCTTTCTATAGGGCCGTGGCCCTATCAGAAACGTTGCTATCAGTAACAATGTGCAACGTTTTGGAAGTAATATGTTCTGTGTTTACATTAGCAAGCATCGCTAACACTCAGAGCTAATACTGTAGTGGAGAGAGTATGTGTAAAAAAGCAGGAAATAAAAAAAGGAACTCACCTTGTGGTAAACCCGCATGAGAAAAAGTATTTGAGCTCCATACTGTTTCAGAAATAATGCTTGAAGTGGTTTTGAACGTGATATGGCGTTTAATCACGGTAGCATTTAGTTGAGTATCTGGGTAGAATTCTGAGCAGGCATATGCTCCCCCCCTCTTTTTTTCTTTTTTTTAAACTACTCACCCAGAATCAGCTAACAGGGCTGAAATAGAGGGGTATGAGGCATGCTACAATGGGTGATCTGTTTGGTATTTTGAGAAAAACACTTCATAGACATGTTTTTTATATATTTGCATATATCTAAGACCTATGCTATTGCCTAACAATATTATAATAGGAGACCTTTAATGTCTTTCATTTTTGTAAAGCACTTTGAATGTCCTTGTGTTGAAAGGTGCTGTATAAAAACTTGTTATATAAACCTGATTGACTCCCTCCAGGTGCAGCCCCTCCCTCAGGGGTTCCCCATCAGTAATCAGGACCTGTACAAAAGGCTGAGGAAGCTGCAGCACCCTCTCCTCTCCCCTGGGTTCAAGGTTCAAGGTTCTTTATGTAGTCATACGAGCATAGCTACAGTGTAGTTATGTCGATGAAAATCTTAGGTCACAGGCTTCTCCAACAGTGCAACACAAAACACAGATAAACAGAAGAATATAGTGCAAGTAAATAGTAAATACAAAAATAAAAATTGTTTAAAATAGTGAAATAGTGCAATAAGAGTCTTTAAGCAAGTTATTGGAATATGATATATTAGGTAAATAGATAAATAATTTCTAAGTAGCAGCCAGATGAATATTATGGATGTTGTTTCAACAGTTCAGGTGTTTAACAGATTTAGCTTCAACAGTTCAGGTGTTTAACAGCCTTATTACCTGTGGGATGAAACTGTCCCTGAGTCTGGGTTGGCATGGATGTCGGGACCAGTGTGGTATCTCTGTGTGAGACTTGGGACCAGTGTGGTATCTCTGTGTGAGACTCGGGACCAGTGTGGTATCTCTGTGTGAGACTCGGGACCAGTGTGGTATCTCTGTGTGAGACTCGGGACCAGTGTGGTATCTCTGTGTGAGACTCGGGACCAGTGTGGTATCTCTGTGTGAGACTCGGGACCAGTGTGGTATCTCTGTGTGAGACTCGGGACCAGTGTGGTATCTCTGTGTGAGACTCGGGACCAGTGTGGTATCTCTGTGTGAGACTTGGGACCAGTGTGGTCGGTGTGCTTGTGATTGTATCTTTCTGTATTGTTTACTTTTCTCACTTTCTTTTGAAGAAAGTTATTCCTATTTGGCATTGAGACCTTTTTGCTTTGACTTGTCGAACAACTTTTTTCACCGGGGTTATTTAATATTTTGTCACTTCCCTTTTCCCCCTAGACTTTAGGAAAAGGTAATGCCAATAAATAATGAACTTGCAGAGTGCATTTGCATTTGAAAGACAGCCAAAACTAAAAAGCAAGAACAAGCAAATCCCCATGGGTAAAAATGGGAAAGAGTGCATTTAAAAGACAAATAAAAAAAAAACGAAAGTAAGCACACAAATAGTTAAAAAGGAAAGAAAAATTGCAATCAATTACAATACTTCTGTATTTAACATTGCTCTTACAATACTTTCAATGAATTAAAGAATACAAATACCGTAAGCTATTGTTAAAGCTTTAGTTACGCTTCAGTGATCAGTGGAGGCGTGTGGCGTAGTGGATAGAGCAATGTAATGTGATCGTATTTGTTTTCTCAAAAAACAATAACGAAGTAATTCCACCTGAAATATGCTTAAAGCATCAAAAGCACTCAGTATGCATAATCACCGTCCATCGGGGCTTACTACCCATAGTGCTCCGATAACCACTGGAACTTTACTATATACAGTATATCACTACTTTCTACTGATTTATTACCTTTATAATGTTTCATTTATAAAATACAAAACAAAAACGTGTTGCCAAAAGTCATTAAAATATATAGGGGCCATAAATAGCACAGTAACAAAAAAAATCAAAATTGTATGCAAGTCTACCACTTAAAGGTGGGGTATGTAATTTTGGAGAAACCAGCTCGAGTGCGCTAGAATTTGAAAGTACACAACCGGAATAAATCTGCCTCTTCCTTCAGACTTCCTTACAGAGCCCCTCCTCCAACACACACGAACGCGCACATGATCAATGAGGGCACGAGATAAGTTTGTGCACAGATGGAAGGCTGACAGGCAGGTAGGCCATCCAGTTACTTTAGCCGGGCCGGCTAAAATGATTGGTCGTGCTTTTTACAGCGCTACGGCTTCCACAGATGACATTTTTTTATATATTTATTGTCAAAGCATTTAAGATATTCATTGCTATCGGGATGTTAAGAGCATTCCATGGAATATAACAAAAAGTGTTTCTGAAATAAATTACATACCCCACCTTTAAGTACAATTACTTTACACCACTCTACTCTATAATTTGCGCAATAAAATGTTTTCAAATTCCACCAGTGAGTCAGATATGTTGGGTGTGAATATCTTTCCTAAGACAGCAAAGACTTACGAGAAGGAAGCAATTACAAAAACTAAAATACCTTCCCCTGTGGTTCCCCATCCATGTCTTTCTGAAAAATGATCATTTCATCATAGAAAGACGTTTGTGTGAAATTGGTAAAACTTGCATAT